TTAAAGGAGAAATTCGCTACTGAATGCCATTATTACTCTGCGGCAGGTGATATTTGGACATCCAGAAGCAAGCTCAAGTTTATATGCCTTACGCTGCACTATCTGGACACGTTGTTCAAAATGCGCAGTTGGATACTCGAAGTGAAGCTGCTGCCGGGAAAGCACGATACTTACAGCATTGTAGACTCATTGAAGAAAAGCACGCTGGAATGGGGTCTACCGGCTAGTAAGTGTGTCTAATTTTTGCGCGATGGCGCTCCACCAGACGTTAAAGCCTGTGGCTTGCTCCATCTCGACTCGATGTCATGATTAGCTCATTGCTTGCACTTAATCGTTGGCTCTGGTATTGTCAAGAAAAAATCTGACAGAACATACAACGAGATGCTAGCGGCAGCAAAGACGGATGGTAAATAAGATGATGCGCTCGAACAGGAGGCTTGCGGAGAAGTGGACAGGTCTATCGCAGAGTCTTGTGAATCTTCTCAGTCAGATTGGATAAGTTACGTGGAGCTGTTGAAAAGTTTCGCAAGCTTGCAGTGTTCTTTAGTCGTTCGGCAAAGGGATCCGATTGCCTGAAAAGCCTTCAAAGTAAAGAACTTCTTCCTAAAACCGACTGTACTACTCGTTGGATTTGCACATACGCCATGCTCTTGCGTATGTTGGAGCTACGCAGTACATTAGCTGCCTTTTTTATCTCGCGGCTAGAACTGGTGAATTTTCTTACCCCACTTCCGCACTGATCGGCGGGATCGAAGAGGCGCTGATAGTGGTATACTTGCGAAGTCTTTTAACGATACCGGATTTTTTTTAACGTTATCCACAGCGATAACACGTAACGTTGAGTAAAAAGTGTAAAACCAAGCATATTGCAGGGCCTGCAATATGCTTGGTTTTACACTTTTTACTTAACCAAAATGTGAGCTATTATGTGCGAATTATGTGGTTTGCGGAAAATCAAGCATATTGCTTGGGTTTACAACAATAATTAGAATAGTTATCGGTAAACCCAAATAATATGCTGCGCGGTGCCGAGTAAAACCCAGCATATATGCATGCTATACATTTTACTGTGGGATATTTACCATACAATATCCAAGTAATTATTCGGCGGCAATAGGGTTAAGGGCTCCGACTTTGGAGGGGCCCGTGTTGAGAATTGACTATGGTTGTGCTCGTTATCGCTGAAGCCCAAGTGAGAGAGACGAACGTTGCATCCACGAAAGACAAGGCTCGGGAACGAAGAGTAACTCGGTGCTACTGAGAGATGGTGACTCCTGTCTCTAGGCATGTTTTTCATAGCGGGTTAGTCTCGAACACGACGTCTGAAAACAGCTCACTCAGAAGAAGAGCAAGCTGCACTAGAAATTAATAGGAAGTTCGTATTTTTGTGTACGTGGATTGCCTGTGTTTTCAGCTCGAGCTTTGCTGCGGATCTGAGTGAGAATAATCCTATGACGAGCGTCTCAGCCCAACCGTCGTTCTTGAAGTACCGGAGTACCCCTGCGTCTCGTGCCCTAAGATGATGAGGCACCGAACCTGGAGATGCTCTCGATGAAGCTCCTACTCAGCCAGTGACCACCGTCATTGACGCGTATCGAAGGCTCTGTCCATTTGACGCTGGAACAACTCTCGTCGGAGAAGAGCACTTGCACGCTGAAGCATGCATCCATGGCCATATTGACCAGCTTGTCTGCCATTTTGCTGTATTCTCGGTAGCGATGCGTCCACGACATCACCTGTAGCTGGTTAGCAGCGCGTTGCGTTTGATAATAAATCCCTTTTGAGATGAGCCGCCTTCGGGTACGCACACCCTCGGCTGTTAGTTGGCTGGGAACACACCCGCTTTTCTAAATCTGACAGATTAATTCTAAATCTGAAAATAAAATTAAATCTGAACAAACAATGTTACATGTGTGTACCACATTATTGGCACTTATTGATTTGGTGCGAGACTCACCAGGAAACAAGCCCGCTTTCCCGCCCAATTGAACACTACCCCGTAACCACTACACTTCGTTTTAGTATACGAATTGAAAATACGCCCGCTACAGCCCCCACTGCCACACAGTTTAACTCATTTTGCAGTCGCGTTGGCGGACCAACGCGCCCAAGTCCGCCATCGAAACCAACGCAGGCTCGTCCTCCCGGTTCTCCACCACGATCGGCCGCAGCAGTGCAGTCGACACCAGAGACCGAGGGTCCGGTATGCTCCGGACCAAGTGAGAGACCTCCACCACCACGGATTGCGACGACACCGCGTCCACCAGTGTCACGTTCGTTTACACCGTCACATCCCGAGACTTGGCTAGCCTGAGACTTGGCCGTGCGCGGCGCCAGAACCACCTCCGCAGTCTTCAGCCACCTCGCATCGCTCGACTGCAACTCGCCCGACACTTGCCATTCACCACCGTTCTTCACGCGGTGCAGCAGCACGAAGTCGCTCCAACGAGGAACTGCCAGGCTAGCCATGCTCACGCTCTGCACGTCCAGAGCGCCGACCAGCAACGCAGACGCGCGATCCAAAGCCACAGACACCAACTGCCTCGGCGGCAACGATACCGTCTCGTTCACGAATACCATCGAGCGCAGCGCCACAGACAGGTCCAGGTCGCGACGCCGCCATGAGATCGCACCACCCAAGTCAGCTAATTAGAAATGAATAAATCTAGTTCGTCAAATTAGTTGTTCTTTAATTTAGAAACTTATTTCTTAAAAGCGGGCGTGTTCTATGGGAGAGCCGCTGGTCTCATTCGCATCGGAGATCACATTCATAAACAGCTATTAATACACTTGCTCTAGAGTGGGCATTTATCGCCTCAGTTAGGGTAATCGATGTATTACACTACCTTATGCCACCAAGCAAAGTAATATGGATGCGTGAAATACAATACATGTCCGCTGTTCTCTGCAACATTTTTTGCTATTCTGTGAAGAGTCTATAGAGAGACATTTGGGTCACGTTTTTGGGTACATCATTTATAATAGTCCTTTTCTGTTTTCTGGCACTGTAAGCTAGAGTAAATATTATAGAAATTTAAGTACTAACATGTACTAATAATTTCTCTACCATAGCTACATCATTCAGATTTGCGGCCCGCAATCCGCGGGCTACTGGCTCACGTACAACAACGGTACGTGTACGCCTCTCGTCTGTCCAGTTTGCGACGGCGGGGAAACGTTTTTAAGGCTTTGAATCCAAGATTTTGACACGGCCTCATTGGTGTTGGCATAACGATGTCGGTATTACTTAGTAGAGCTATTTAAAAATAAAACCAAGCTATTAATAAGACTTGGCGTGGACAAGTCAATAAAATGGACTTCAAACAACTTGCTCTTGACGATAAAAAAAGGGAGATGCAGTGAATCCACTGCATCTCACTTTTTTGAGCCGATTCAGTGAATCGGCTCTCAAGAGTGAGTTTCAAGATGTGACAAATCTCGAAGGCGAAGTGTGTACCGGTACTGCATAGTGTGCAGATGCACTTAATGGTCTGAGTGTCACATCAGCGGCT